CTAATTTCGTAGTTTCATTCTTGGAAATCACGTATGTAAGTACAACCACGACGAGAAAATCAATGGCGCAAAGAAGACGCGATACCAACTATTAGTTTCGAATTATACGCTTTGATATCACATGAAGACCAAATCTGAAATGGCAAAAAATGGGAAAAACTTAATTCGTAATTTCTTCTGAAATCACGTATGTAAGTATAACACACGAAAAATATCAAGGCGCAAGAAAACGCGAATCCAACTATTAGTTTCGAAATTATACGCTTGAAATCAAATGAAGCCAAATCCTGAAATTGGGGAAAAATGGTGAAAAAAACTTAATTCGTAATTTCTTTTGAAATCACGTATGTAAGTACAACCCACGACGAGAAAATTCAATGGCGCAAAGAAGACGCGAATCCAACTATTAGTTTAGCGAAATTATACGCTTCAAATTGAAATGAAGACACAACTGAAATTGGGGCAAAAAATGGGGAAAAAACTTCAATTTCGTAATTTCATTCTGAAATCACGTTTAAGTACAACCACGACAGAAATTCCAATGCGCAAAGAAGACGCGAATAAACTTCCAACATTAGTTTTGAAATTATACGCTTGAGAATCAAATGAAGACCAAATCCTTGAAATTGGGGCAAAAAAATGGGAAAAAAACATAATTTTCGTAATTTCATTCTGAAAATCACGTATGTAAGTACACCCACGACGAAGAAATTCAATGGCGCAAAGAAGACGCGAATCCAGACTATAGTTTCGAAATTATACGCTTGATATCAATGAAGCCCAAATCCTGAATAATTACGGCAAAAATTGGGAAAAAACTTAATTTCGTAATTTCATTCTGAAAATACGTATGTAAGTACAACCCACGACGAGAAATTTCATGGCGCAAAGAAGACGCGAACCAACTATTAGTTGTCGAAAGTATACGCTTGAAATGAAATGAAGACCAAATCCTGAAATTGGGGCAAAAAATGGGAAAAAACTTAATTTCGTAGTTTCAATCTGAAAATCACGTATGTAAGTTACAACCCACACGAGAAATTCAATGCGCAAAAAGACGCGATCCAACTATTAGTTTCGAAATTATTACGCTTGAAATCATATGAAGCCCAAATCCTGAATTTGGGCAAAAATAGGAAAAAACTTAATTTCGTAAGTTCATTCTGAAATCACGTATGTAAGTACAACCCCGACGGAGAAAATTCAATTACGCAAAGAAGACGCGAATCCAACTATTAGTTTCGAAATTATAACGCTTGAAATGAAATGAAGACCAAATCCTGAAATTGGGCAAAAAATGGGAAAAAACTTAATTCGTAATTTCATTCTGAACCACGTATGTAAGTACAACTCACGACAGAGAAATTCAATGGTGCAAAGCATATCGGAATCCAACTATTAGTTTCGCAATTATACGCTTAACATCCATTTGAAAGCCCAATATCCTGAAATTCTGGAGCAAAAAAATGGGGAAAAAAACGTTAATTCGTAATTTCATTCTGAAATCTACGTATGTCATTCAAGTCACGAAGAAAATCAATGGTTGCCAAAGCATATACGATCCAACTATAGTTTCGAACATTTCGCTTGAAAATCAAATGAAGCAAATTCTCCAAATTTGCGCGGCAAAAAATGGGAAAAAACTTAATTTCGTAATTTCATTCTGAAATCACGTATGTAAGTACAACTCACGATGAGAAAATCAATGGTGCAAAGCAGACGTCAATCCGACAATTAGTATCGAAATTATACGCATAAACACAATTCAAGCAAAAATCCCGAAATTGGGGCTAAGAATGGGGAAAAACCTAATTTCGTAGTATCTATCTGAGGTCAAGTATTTAAGTACAACTCTCGACGAGAAATGCAATGGTGCAAAGCACACGTCAATCCGACAATTAGTTTGGAAATTATACGCATGAAAACAAATTAACCCCAAATCGCGAAATTATGGCAAAAAAATGGGGGGAAATCTAATATCGTAGTGTCTATCTGAAATTATGTATGTAAGTACAACTCTCGACGAGAAATTCCATGGTGCAAAGAAGACGTCAATCCGACTATTAGTTTCGAAATTATACGCATGAAAACAAATCAAGCCCAAATCCCGAAATTGGGGCAAAAAAAAAGGAAAAACCTAATTTCGTAGTATCTATCTGAAATCACGTATGTAAGTACAACTCTCGACGAGAAATTCAATGTTGCAAAGCAGACGTCAATCCGACTATTAGTTTCGAAATTATACGCATGAAAACAAATCAAGCCCAAATCCCGATATTGGGGCAAAAAATGAGGAAAAACCTAATTTCGTAGTATCTATCTGAAATCACGTATGTAAGTACAACGCTCGACGAGAAATTCAATGGTGCAAAGCAGACGTCAATCGGAATATAGGTTCGAAATTATACGCATGAAAACAAATAAAGCTCAAATCCCGAAATTAGGGCAAAAAATGGGGAAAAACCTAATTTCGTTGTATCTATCTGAAATCACGTATGTAAGTACAACTCTTGACGAGAAATATAGTGGTGTAAAGCAGATGTCAATCCGACAATTAGTTTCGCTGTAATCGAAGTGTTTCAGATTCAGAACTCGCCTCTGAATCACTGAAAAGTCACATAATTGGTGTCTATCAGGAATTGTGTCTGTTACAATCCGTGACTTCAATAATCGTTTTCTCTAATATCAGTTTCAGCATGGGATGAGTGTGAGGAATATGTCCTCGCACTTTCAGTACTGGAAAAGCATCCTCTGCATCGGTATCTCCACCTGCTTCCGAATCAGTAGCAGAGAGACAATCCATTTTTTAAATTTCTTTCTCGTCTAACTTTCGGCTGCTCATACTGCTGAAAAATAGGCAGTAAATTACATAATTGACCTTTGAAATCAAATCCAGAGGTGCAATAATGTTCACAGTATATTCACAGAAAATATCATACGAAACTAGAATGTGATTAAGATGACAAAAATTAGTCTAGAACCATAATCACATTTAATGCAAGAAGCATTTGCTCATAACAGACAGAGCATGAGTGATTTGAATACACTAAATACTTATAAAAGACTGCCCAAAACAAAAATGCTATTTTTGAATGTTTCTCACAAATATTTCGATCTTGAAATTTACCAAAATGAAGTGATACCCGACTCTAGCAGTACATCGAAGAAAATAACTGAAATTCGCTGCGCGTACGTGGTCTGAACGGGGGTCAGAACCACAAAACACATGGACATCGGCGGTGTCACCTCCGACGCCCTCCATCCCTACCCCTCCCAAAGTTAACTAAAGGATATTCCCACGGGTCACCCCGCGAGCCGCGTCTCAAAGCCGAAGGAAGGCACCCACAACCCCCCCCCCTACAACCCTTGTTCTCCATAAATGAAATTTCCAGCATCGTGACAAGCCACAATCTGGTAGCTTCCAGTTCCTTAATCCCTTTGGTCGCGCAATAACGTGATCACTATGACAAGCAGCTGGGGCGCCCCCCAATTTCTCCACTTGACGACCGTGATTGCACAAAGACGACCAAATAACAGCCCCCGAAAAGTAGGTCACTAAGTAAGGGATCGCCTCTGGCCAATCCCCAAACTATCAGCAGTACAAGCTTCCAGAACACGCGAGCGTAGACAATAATACGCCAAATACGACACGCGTGATCGAGCTTCAGCTCATTGAAGGGGTGGGCTTCGCAACTAGCCCGCAAAGGCGAGACTAGATGGCGGGGGAAACAACACTGCAGGCCTGTTACGTCGTGACACTTATCACAATTGGCTCCATTACCAAGAGCGGACCCAAGCACCGGCACATTTTGGCAATTAACCAGTGCTGATCAACAATCATTCGGCGGTATTCAACTAGCCCATGCCTGTCCGTCTGAACTGTCTGATTATGAGCCAATTTTACATCGAAATTTCTTCCGTTTTACGGTAGGGATGGAGGGTGTCTTACCGACGTCTGCTAGACACCCACAGAGGTGCGCGGCTTGCCGTAACCGGCCGCAAAGACGCGTTTGACGACCTCGCACGGCGCGCTTCTTCAGACATGGTCGTCGCCACAAAGGAATGATGGCTGACGGCTATGAGAATGGTAGCGGACCGCTGACAGAAGTCTTCACCCAAATAAACACGGGCGAGTGGCTGCTTCCTTGGCGAGCGCGTGCGCCTTCATTCGGAGCCCTACATCGCACAAATAAAACTATACTGTAAGCGGGAACAGCCCGAGATTGCACAATACATTGAATGTCCAAGAGGTCTGATGCAGATAACCTACACTACACAGACAGTACACTTGAAAGTTGCACGTACCAACTGGGAACGGCCCGAGGTTGGACAGTAAACTCTTACGTATGTTGATTACACACAGAAGCCGCCAACACGGACCACACGTGTGGCTTCGCACGCTGCTTGCTGCGGATCTGAATTGGCGGTTTAACGACGGGAGCATCGTCAGACAGCTAGTGCTCGTGCGCTCATGGGGAGGGGATGGCAGTGGCCAATCACAGTTAGCCATTTGAATTTGGCGATAGAAAGTTCTGGAGGGTTGACTGGTCCTTTGCGAACTGCTAACGGGGGGAACGAGGCTCGGCACGTGTGTTTCTAGGAAAGCCGAGGGCGGTTTCCGGTGGCGTGATCTTATCAACTGAATTTAATTTCGGGGGGATACCATTAGTGACACCAACCGAAGCTAGTCCACTGTTCCACAGTTCCGCAGTTTTTTTAACATCCTTGTAACAAATTGAATCTATGCCTAGGTACTCTTGAGTTGCGAGAGATTTTTTGTTTTAAATTTTTTTTTAAGTTATTGCTGACCACTACGAACACTTCATTCAAAAGCAACTGTTAGTATTGTTAATTCAAATCTAGTCGTGCTAATTAACTTTGTAATACTACACAACTATTTCACATTCAACAAAAGATAAAGTTATATCAATAATTTTTTTATTTAAAATTAATTATATAATTATTTTTTCTGTTGTAAAATTCAAGTCAAAAATGTAACAGAAAAAACACTTCCTTTCAAATGAAAAATTCCTTTTGAAGTCTTTATTTTCACAACACTTTTTTAATTTCATCTACTACAAGTGTTGTTTCAAGGTTTTTCGTATTTATAATACATTCAAGTATAAGGTAAAGATATCTCTGTGCAATTGCACCCTGGCCAATGTGGCCCAAGGGGGAGGTTGCGTGGTTAGCATAACTTCCGATCGCCTTTTTCCTCAGGAAAGATCCAGGTAGTCACTTGTAAACGAAGCTGAGCCGACCGCAGAGCCGCCCTGAATGGAAATGACCACATTAAAATCCCAACCTCGGCTGGGATTCGTTCCTGGCTCCTCCCCTAGTAAGCCAGTGCCCTACCACTGAGCCACCGCCACTTCTTACATTTAAATACAAGCTAAAAAGGATTACCTCTGATGCAACATGTGGCAGCATATAAATCCTTCTTGTAGGTCACTTTCCACAAGTCACTGGGACCGGTAATAAGACGAGCAGAGACACCTGCATAAGCCAATGCCAGCTGAAGGCACTCTGTGCCTTTTTCTAACTCTTCCTCGCTGCACTGTCAACAAAACAATGAAGACTTTTTATCCTTTGATAGAAAGCAAAATTAATGGACAAAGTAGATAACCGTCCAACCATTCTAAATAAATCCACAAAGGTATAATAAAACTTTCCCAACCAGAAACTGCACACGATCACTCTATTCCAACGGATGCACATGAAATAAAACCACTAGGTAAGTAATAGACTTAAACCACAATACTAATATGTATTATGACTGACACACACTAATATGTAATATTCATTCACTATTCTAATGATAAATAGCTGTCGTGTTCATATTTTCGACTTGGTCAAAACCAAAACATTATTTAATAACATTCTTGTTATAATCCATTCGTGTTTTATCAGAACCGCCGTTATTTTGACGAAAATCCGCCGTTTTCCCGCGCATCATTACATAACTCTCTATTACATGCATATTACTCCATATATACGTACGTATACAAGAAAGTAAAAAGTACGCAGGGTTATTCAATTTTTAACACATTTTCAATTATTATAATTGTTATTGATTATTTTTAACAAGAATCCTGCAAGCTAATATATAAATATTTTTCATACATTTACCTTTTCCTTAACAAAAATACAATTCCATCAAAATTAAACATTAAAAGATAAATTTTCATGTGATCCAAATATCCTTTTTCTTACACATTTAATAAATAAATTACATTTTAATTTATAAAATGTTTTTACATTAGGCTGACAATTTCTTTTTAAAATACTCATGTTTTCTACAGTAATTATGCATCTATCCCCCCCCCCCCCAAAAAAAAACATTAAAAGTTTATTAACGGGAGCACACGTACAGGAAGGCCGGCCGTTAGCTCCTTGGGGCATCAATGACACGATGTCCGAACGTAAATCGTTTTTTGGTAACGAAGTCGATTTCCCGTCAACGATAGGTTCAATTGGATCATAGGACCCAGCTTATTCCATGTAAAATTATCTCTTATTAATCCACCGCCAGCTTGCACTCGTTACCAACTTGAGTTCATGGCTTCGTGGGGTCTATGCCACAAACCTTACAATCAATTCTTACCAACTGAACTCGGAACTCGTCTAACCAAGTCACGGTTTTCCAGTTGTCTAGACTCCAATCGGTAAAGTCACGAGCCCAGAAGAGGTGCTGAAGGCGATGTCGTACTGTTAGCAAAGGCACCTTCTGCTGCCGTAGCCTCTTATAGCTTAATTTTGCAGTTCTGTCCTAAAGGATTCTTTCGTAGTACGTCCTTCATTGATTTCTGCTATTTTACGCGGTGTTGCTGTCATTTTTTTCTTTTCACTTTAGAACAATGCTGTTTAATATAGAAATTATTTTTTTGTTATGATAAAAGGAAATTACTCATTTGTATTTGTATTTCGTCAATTTCGACTAAAGTCATTTTTTATCTTTTCCCGTCATTTTTAATGCATTCTTCGCTAATTTCATTTTAATATCATGTATTGGAACTTGCTTCAAATAATATTAACAAGGTGTAACAAACGTTCTCCACAGAATTCCTGAGAAGCTAATTCGATTTCTTCGCTCAGAAATTGAAATGTCAGCCGTTGTATGTAATCTAAGGTTCCTGTGACGCCTCTCAGCACCACTGTCGGTTCGGCAGATTTTGGGTTAACAAAAGACGGATCTCTTGGTCAAGAGCAGTCCAAATCAAAACTCTGCCAGCAGAGTGCCCCTTGAACGTATAAAAGAAGCCTTGATTATATCAAGCACGTATCCAGATTGACTTGTTCATCTCAAGTGGTTTTGATAACATTTTTTAAATTCATTTTTCTCGCTTTTAGGGCATTTTAAAAAACATTTTAAGGGCATTTTTGGCAATGTTTTAGTTCATCAAAACCCGCTCAGTCATAAATATACATCCGGTACATTGTAAGATGTGCAAGGATATTTTCATTTATTACTCTGTGAAAGAATACCGATGTTAATTTTCTGCTGATTGGCGCTTGCTTGGGGTTAACGCCTTGCCAGACTGTGCTGTAGAAAAACTAGTACAAATTTCTACTGTATTTAATTTCTCAGAATCCTCTCGGAGTCCCGCTTTGAAACTTACTAGACTTACGTAAAACACTTCAGAGAAAACGATGTTATTCTTTTCAAATCAATTAAATGTCGGGTTAAAGAAGAAACTTAAAAAAAAAGCAAAAAACGCATTTAAAAAAAATATTTTCATTACATACATCAAATGAAAGAGCACCTTTAGTTCATTAATGTCAAAAATTACATTTCTGTCACAATTACAACACGAGTTGCAAACAATTAACATTGGCGATGCCAGCATTTTTTCGCAAATTTCTATATTAATATGGGCTTGAAAAAACCTTTGGAAAAAATGAAAAGCGAGTGTTTCATATTTTTGATTATACTTTTCATAGAATAAATGTATAAAAATCTGGGATATGAAGGTCCCATTTTGCACAAATGTATGCGATTTTACGTGGAATGACAATTTTGTTGGAGTCTGAATTTCCGAAAATTGCAAAAGTTCAATTTTTTCGTCGTCTTCCTAGAACTAGTACAATATCGAAGATAGTTTTTTCCCCCCTTCATGTAATTTTTTCATCAAAAATGTATCTTGAAATAATTTCAGGTTCATTTTTTCGAAAAAAATGTTTTAGGACAATTTTACGGGTAATTTTTAAACAAAAATATTTTTCTCAAAACAGCTCCAAATAAGTTCTTTTTTTTTCCTCGTAAGAACGGTAAAGGTAGTAGTGGTGGTCCTAAGTTATTTTCGGCGAACTCTATTTTCGAAAATGGCAAACAAAAAATTAATTGCAAAAGTACAATTTTGATGGCAGAGATTATTAAATGAAATCTTCCAAAAATCAGTTTTTTAAAAAAACGTAGTGAACTTTTTTTTTTTAATGTTAGTGGTTTAACGGCACTTTGATTTTTGAAATTGTTGTTCTAATTTCCCGCGCTTCTCTTGCTGGACTCCTTCAGGAGTTACCAGGTCGCATTGCAACAATGGGAATGCAGTGACAAGGCAATTTAATAATCCCAGAATAACTTTTCAGTGTTGGGCGGTGTTTCTGGGTGAATGAAACGTTATTTTTTATTGTCTCATTGGTGTCGAAATATTGGTTTAATGCGCTACGATTGGTAGTTTTGCAAATGATGGCTGAAATGTGCTAATTTGGACAGAAATTGCTTTAATATAATTTTACGTAATCGTTGGTGGGGCCAGAAAGTAGAAGCTATTGCAGAACCACTAGTTTCGTGTATGATGCTGGGTCTTCATAATTTATCTCAATTACAGAAGTTTTCCATTAAATTTTTAAAAAATCTGACATTTCCCTAAAGTTATTTAAGTTGCATGATTATCAACTGACTCATCCATCACTGCAGACCAAACGTTCTATGACTGTAGAACTGTGTCTGCAATGGCAGCAGGGGCGGTTGATTATCTTATAACTTACACAACTTTTGAAAAATGTCAACATTTTTTTAAATTTAATTTTCTTCAAGGTTTAAATAACATTACAATAATTTTACAATAAGCTTGATGTTGGAGATAAATTTATTCTCGAGACGTCCCGATTTTGAAAACGTAATAAATGATCATTAACTGTAATATCTGATTACTAAATCTGTTCACCGAAAAAAGACAAAATTTTTGTATATTAATCGAGAGTGATGGACAATAAAGTTTAACCATGAAAATCTTTCCTAACTACATCTAATTCCAAGCAAATATGAAAGGAAATATTGCAACAAGTTTTATTTCCATTTTTTAAAGCACTTATCTATATCACTTTTGGTTTATTAAGAAGACCACATCTAAAGCAAATAGAAACAACAATGTGCATCTAAAACCAGGACTAACTTAACACCCAAACAATTGACACTTGCCGATGGAAGGTTTCCAATAACCAATTTTCACCACAATAAAAAAAATTGTCAAATTCTTGCAGAAGACATGTACAACTACATGAGAAATGCAGAAGAAAAAAGGGAGAAAAAGAATTACTATCCTGACTACATTTTATCGCTTTACACAACTTCTTCCAAGACTTCACCCAAAAATTGAAAATCATTGACATTTGGATGAGTTTATTAATGGACACAATAAATCATTTTCAATGTATGTTTACAAGGTACGTTCAATAATCTATCTACCTAAATAAGAAAACTACAACAAAACAATGGATTCATTCTAATATTTTTATATAATCCCTTTAGACCTCAATGCACTTTGACCACTTCTCCTGCAACATTAAATTTTTTGAAAAAAATTCTTTGGCCGCTCTGCAAACCAGACTGTCACTGCTGTCTTGACTTCACCACTTGAGAAACGCTATCCTCAGAATTTTTGTTTTCATGCTTTGGAACAGAAAATAATTGGCGGATGCTAGATCAGGGCTGTACGGTGGCCGACAAAATCTGCTGGAATCTGCAGATTCAGATGGTGACAGATTTCATTGTTGTGTGCACCAGCGCATTGTTGTGAAGGTGAAGCATGCTACACACTTTGATGAACTAGCCATAGTCTCAATCCTAATGTTATAAGTGCACTGAGCCAAAACTACATATCATGTCAAGACAGGTAGCAATACACAGACATGTTTTTAAACATGCCTATTGTTAGACATCACACCGAAGTAGATGTATCACTGAATGCTCTCCGTACCTCAATATCACCTGTACGTATCCAGACATTATATAGATAACTCTCAATTAATAAACACATTAGATTACTTAGAGGATTTTATCAGTCAAAAAAGAAATAACCATACAGAATCCAATCCACATTGAAGACTATAACCTGCTTCTATAATCCTGTCACCTTCCTGAAGACTATTGCATCTAATTCCAGTTCAAGTGATAAATCCTTTCTGTTTCTTAAAGAATACATAAATTGGTCGTGTATACATATGCCTCCTAAAAAAAAATTAAAATCAGCAGAATCATGTGTAACACCAAGTGCAACAACAGTGCATGGAAGTCCTTGCATTTAAAATGCACATCCTCTGAAGAAAATATATAATGAAATTAAAAAAGAATTAAGAATAATCACTGTACAAAATATTTCCTATAAATTGTCGAAAAAAAAGAATATGATTAAAAGATCAATCATTCCATATGTTAATCATAGCTTCCTGAGATTCTCAATTAATAACATGGTTAGAAAACATCCACTTCTTTAAATAAAAAAACAACCAGTGGGTATATTATATTGATTTTTTCCTTTTTTCTTCTATTATGGAATGTTATTTTTTAAATTTAGTTATTTTAAAATACTTATTTTCATGAAGTTAAAATACATTCAGTACACCATGTATGAATAAAGTGTGCCCAGGGATTAAGTATGCGCACAAATCTCCATGTGGCAGATTAATCTCAAATAGTCGTCATAGGTAATAAAACTATTTTCATCAATATTATTATATTTGCTTAAAAAAATAGCAAATGAGTAACAAGTAGCCAGATTGGAAAAGAAGTACTTTCAGTTGATTTAGATTTTCTTTTTTGTGTTTTTTTGTTTATGCAAGTTTGTTGTGATGAAATTTTCAATACAAACAAATGAAGTTCGTACTTTATTGTCAATTTACTTTATTTTGCATAAATATTGTTTTTTTTACTTGTTTATATCAGTTTGTTGAGATTAATACTTAGTTTTTAATGAATAATTTGATACATAAAACTAAGTTTAGTTATTTAATTTGAAATATTTTTTAAAACATCCATCATTTAAATGATTTTATGGATTTTTAAGGCATTCTACCAGGGTTTACAAAAGTCCTTTTTTTGAGAGTACAGTTTAGTCAACCCTGATTCATTGCACTAACTGGCCAATTATACAAATAAAGAAGAAAATTAGACAGATTACAAACTATTAATTATTTTCTTGCAAGCCTTGTAACGGGGCCAAATATCAATTTTAAAATTTTCCTTTTCAAAAAGTATAGTCCTTTAATATGAGAAAATTCTTATTTTACAACTTCCACAATCATATAAACTTACATGACTGAATGCTTTTGAGAGAACATTCGACTGAAATGCTTGAGGAGTCTCGCTGGCTACATATTCTGAACGATCTAGACATTTTTGAAGAAATCCATTCTCATCCTGTTTAACAACAGTAGATACTAAAGGGCGTATAGCACCTGCAGCTCCATGTTCATTTGCAGAAAGAACTAACTCTTCAAGAAATCCCATTGGCACAAAAGGACGAACAGCATCATGCACAACAAGAACTTGCAAGTTGAGGTCTAGAAGTTCAAGATGAAACATCTCTTATTTTATTAGCAGTATTATGACAGTCAAGTTTAAACAAAATACACCTACCATTCTTCAAAATTTCTTGCACACCTGCACGAATAGAGCGATGGCGAGTATGTTCGCCTTGAACAACGATAAGTTTATCTTTGTCAAAACAGGTTTCTTCAAGAAATCTACATGCATGATCTGGATTGTCAACAACTAAAGCAATTTTTTTCACCCATGGCACAGCAAGAAATTCTTGTAAAGCATACAGGAATAAAGGCCGTCCCTAAAACAAAATTCATAAAGAAAGTCGTTCAATGTGCAGTGGTTTATATGTTCCACAATGATGAAATATTTACCATGATTTTACAGTACTGTTTAGGAGTTGGACCTCCCAGTCTATCACCAGTGCCTGCAGCAGGTAAAATAACTCCAACGTCGAAATTGACCATGGTCAACAAAATATTTTGAATTCTTTAATAATCTACTGACAGGATATGCGGTCACGAACCACTTTCTGGCACCACCTTGCACATTTTAACAAGATCCAGTCAGTTCACTCCCATTTTCATAATGGATATGCACACGGAGAAATTAAGTCTCCTTGAAAAGATGCCATCCTTCCACAAGCTCTGAATTCACATAAATTGCGAATTAGGCTTGTCAACTATTATAGCATGCACGGCGCAGAGTAAAGCTAATTCCTGATGAACAATCCACGTTTGAATAATGGGCGGTCAGGACACAGCGTGCAGGATACTCGGTTGGCATCATTTGCCTTTGAACTATACTCTAATTTAAATATAGTGACTCCCAATGTTTATTGAGCAAGTCTTGGTTATCCGCTTAAAAATTTTATTACTTTATTTTATTTATGAAGCAAACGATTCGTTAACTGCGTCCAGGCTAATTAAACGTGGGAAGTCACTATAAATAAATAGTAGAATAGACATGTGAATTCTTTGAAGCGCTTGTGCACATTTGTGCGCAAGATGTGTATTCTGTTATTATTATTTCTCTTTGATTGACCAGAGATGGTGGCACACGAAACGCATGTGTCAGTTGCAAGCAACGAGTTAGAGATCTCTAACTTGTTGGTTGCATTTACATGGATGGGTGTGCTGCTGCGCAGCCTATCCGGCTTTAGCCAATGAGCTTCATCCATCAGATAGCGTCACAACATTAGCGGGAATCGTAAACGCAGCCAAATATTACTTCAGCAACTTTTCTTGATGGAAGGATTGAAGAAATGCTCGGAAAGTGACGGTATTAGTTACGAATACGGTCACTAGATTTTATGAAGTAGCAAGGAGAACCAGACAGAAATTGTTCTGCCCTTCATTTTCTCTCTCGCTCGCGCTCTCTCCCTCCCTCTCTCTGCATCCCTCTCCCTCGCTCTCCATCTCTATCTCTCCCTCCCCCCTCACTCTCTCTCTCAAGGACGCACGAAAGCACGGACCGTTCCTTTAGGGAAGAGAACTTCAGAAAACTGAGTAGATGCTAAGTTTCTCCGTCTGGTAGAAATTATATCATTCTCAGAATTCAAAAAGAAACCTGAATTCATCTCGCCATCTTGGGTTTTCATGGGTCGATATCTTTTGTCTGCCAAAACAACTTTTTTTAAAGTCATCATACTGTACTAAAACATCATCAATGAATTGATAGTGTGGTGTAATCGCGATGTTGGGAACAGGAAATTCAACAAGTGACGTAGAACCAAGTCGAGAATATGATGTTGACACCCTAATAAACTGAAGTGCTTCTAGACCTTTAGTCTGAACTACCTGAGGAGTTTAGCAACTCCACCATTTTTGTGCCCCTCATTGACTGCTGTGGTAACAGAAATGATCATACCACGAGTGCTTTAAAATTTATCTAAGAATTCCCAAAGCATGATTTGTATTGAATAGGTCTATTCTATGAGTAAAATTATGTCGAACAGAATTCCAAAATGCGCCAAATATTGAAAATAACTGAAAGCTATGTTAAAATCAACGATGTTCATACGCTGTTTATTGGACATCGACATAACAATTGATGTATACCGCCTCCTAAGATAGATGAGTCACAATTTATGATTAGCCAGTAGGATAAAGTGGTAAGAAACTAGTATAGAAAAAGCGATAAACTTTGTGAAGTACACCCCCTGATGTATGTATAGTTCAACACAATTGGTTTTAAATTCACGAGTGGAATAGTCATTATAATACTCTTCCATACACTTTATTCGCAACACGATGAAGGTGTACCTGAATTAATATTTAAAAGAAATGCTTCACTTATTTATTGCAATTACTTGTAACAATGTGATAATTTTAGTATTTTTCTGTATTTAAAATTTCCGCTAGTATTGTGACGCAAGCTGGTGTCTGAAGCTCATTGGCGGATACGTCGCGCAAGATCCGCTCTCCACTCCCTAGGCTAAAGTTAGCGCACACCAAAGAAATTTGAAAACTAACTAGTACGAGAAAGTCAGAGAAAATTTGTACCATGTGAAGCACATATTAGCACAGTATACTGGCGTACTAGTTTAACAATAGTTCACGATGTAAGACGATTTCTAACACTGTGGAATAGTTCAATTCACGGAGTAAGAGAATCGTGATTCAATTGAACTAGTTCGTTCACAAACGACACACCCCCAAATTAGAAAATATAAATATCCTTTCAGAATGTTACAAAGATCGCCCGTTGTCTAAGTTGTCAAAATCTGTCAGATGTCCACCCTAGGACCATACCTCGAAGAGCATTTGTATTCATTCATTGCTGAGCATCGGAATTTCTGTTGAGAAATCCGAGGATTTGTACTTGTTCATCAGAAAGAAGAGGCAGGATTCAAGAATCGAGGTCGTCACCGCGGGAAATGTATTACAGTTTGTTTTGTTTTGATTTTTGCCTATTAGTTGAAAGTTTAGAAAATGCTAAATGTTGATGTACCTGTCATTATTTACCTGATTTCCCACTTTTTTGCTCGAAATATGTAAATAGATAAAATGTAAGTAAGTAAGCTATAAGTGTTTTTTTTTTAAGTTAATAAGAATAGCGTGAGTGTAATTGAAATGTTTCAGAACGATCTTCGTAAGGATTACCAAATTTTCGCAAGAAAATGGCTAATTTAGAAGCTCATCAAGTTGCTGAAGCAAGAGAATGCCTACATATTTTACTGGAAATATCAGAAATGTTGCATACAGGACTGGACCCTGAGACTCTCAGTACATGTATTAGGCTTATCCAGTGTGGAGTAAATCCTGAAGCTTTAGCTCGTGTTGTCATTGAAATCAAAAGATCAGTAGCTGAAATTAAGAAAAGTGAAGAGGAAGATGTCATTGGAAGAGAAACTGTTGAGAAGACAAGAAAGTAAAGGAACATGAATTGCCACAAAGACTTGTATTTTAAATATTTTCATTATATTAAATTGTTTGATGCACATTAATAATTTCCTTCTTTTTGTTTAGTGACTATTGACATTTAACTCCCAGCTTATTTTGAGGACTGAGAAAGGTTGTCATAAGTGTTGGAACTAAAATGAAGACGGAAATTAGTGTCATTCACAACCAAGAAAATGTACTAGTCTTATTCCTGTGTAGGTAGTACTGTCAGATCAGATTAAAAAATAACAAAACAAGAAAAGTGCACTGGTATTTCATTAAATATATCTTGCAAAATGATGATCTGTTTTGGTCTTGCTTATCTTCATATGTAAACAAACTTCATGTATGCAACTGCCTTTCTGTTTGTGATTGGCTGTACCTTTTGTGCAAACACTCTTGCAAGTGTTACTGCAAGAACAATAACATGTTATATTCACCAGTGTTTGTTCTATATTATGTCCAAAATGTCAGTCAAACATGCACGTAATTTACTTAAGGATTAGAGTCCTTATGTTTGTAATTTACCTTCGCACTTTGGTGGTCGGTTTCTTGCTCCTGCAGTGATTGTCAGGATTTAGTTTCTAGTGTTTCAAAAGCATGCAAACCCATTCTTTTTGACACTATTATGGAATTTTCCTGCAGAGGTTTCAAATCTGATGTACAGGTTACAGCTTTGCTTCTATTATGTATGATGTAACAAAAAATCAATTTTATAGCACACAATTATCAAAGCACTGGGTTTCAACAAAAAGAGAACAACCTTTTAGAAACTTCTCTTTTAAGAATGGAACTAAAGCTGGTCAACAATTGCTGAATATATGATCTCTTGCTCCAAGAAGTCTATCAAATAGGAAATATCAAACAGGAAACCCATTGACAGCTAAACATTTGAACAAAAGTTGCTTCTGTTATATTTACCTATTTGGATTCTATTCAAATTCAGTTCTGTGGTTATTTATTCTTTTAATCAGCTGCTCAGTCTGCACTTTAAAATAATTCCGACTATGTCTCTGTGGCAACAATTAAAAAAGAAATTCTTAGAATTTATAGAATGGTTTAAGAGGAAAGAAATCATCTATAAATTTGTAATGAAAGATATGTGACCAATCCAATAAGAGGTGGTGTTGCTACTGAATTAATGAATTTGTGGGTCCTATGTGCTTTGTTATACTACTCAGTCCAGGTCCATTCAGAAGTTTTGTTAGTATTAAATTGCAGTTATCTGCAAGTAGATCATATTTGTGGTGTGTGTGATTTTTTTCCTTCTAATTTCTCATTTTTGTAGTGAATTAATTATTTAAAGCACAAAAGCCTAATGTAAATTTCTACATGAATCATTTCAACAGTGCTACCTAGTCATACACATTTTAAAAACCGTAGAAATTGAATGAATTTTATTTAATCCACTGCTGAAATGATTGTCACCAGAAAGAATTTGCTATCATTCGTGCCACATTTCAGTGAATGGTGATATTAATAGTGTTTCAGTTTTTGTAGTTTAATTTATAACTCTCATTGACATTTGTATCGAAAACCTTTTTCTTTCTTACTAAATTGCAACTTTTGGGCATGCTATTTTTTGGTCAATGGCAAGAAATATTATTTTTATTCTTAAGTTAAACAATGCAAATGACTTGGAGGAGGGAGGGAAGGAAAAGTGGAAAAAAACACTTCACATGTGATAATTTTTAGAATGAATGTAGTAATGCCTCACAAGAACGTTGCCATTGTTCCAAAAAGGGGATGCAACCTATTTAACATACTCTAAAAATGTACCATCGTATTTGTGTACCCTAAACCAAGTTTTGTTTATTATCACTACTATGGTAGTAGTACACAAAACTTCACATCATTTTTTATTTTAATTGTAAGTAAAGAAATAATTTTCAGAAATGATGCCACCAAAAAAATTAAAATATATGCCACATTCTGTTGATTTCATAATTTCACCCAATCTTTCATTTACACTTTTTTCATACAAAATCTTCAAATATTTTCCCCTGAAAGATTAAAGTAAAATTATGACATGTTTTTAAATGTAATTTGAGCATAAATAGTTATTTATGAGACTACTCTAAATTATTCTTTAAGGTTGAGGTTAGAAGGCTAATTGCGAGGCAGAGCTATAACAGAATTGAAGCATAGAGGACATGTTAAATACTATGTTTCTTATTTCTAGTTATTCTAAATGAACATTTAACTCTTTCATGAGTTAAGAATTGTCATTACTCTCAATGTTTCTTAGTAAGGGTTGTTGGTACAGGGCCTTGATAATCTTTTTAATTAGCGATCGCCACAAGTGAAAGGATCAAATGGCAAGTGGAACTCAGCTGGGAAAGGACGAGGGCAAGGGGACAAAATAGACATAATTGGGAAAGGGGAAGAGAGATAAAATTAGAAAGGGAGACAATTGGGACAAACAGACAAGGTAGCGAAAGGGACAAACATTTCAGGATCGATTTCTTGTAATATTAATGAAAATAAATGTCATGGATTCAAATGGCATTACATTCAGTGGTAATTTAAAAAATTGTAACTTTAAAATAGCTGTATCAAAACAATTGTAAAAATAAATTCTGTTTATATTTACTCCCAAAAATTCTGTTTTGTGGCAACAACATATTTATCAAAAGATTCATGAGCCCCAGTAAAATCTAAAGCCGGAAGTCTGCTAAAATATTATTAATGGTCCTTTGAGCATTTTAACAGTTGTTGCTATGGACACGCTCACATATGCGTTTATTAGATGGTTGGTTGCAAAGGAGCTGAATGTGTGCGTTTTACTGATGTAAATAAAAAATATGTGATGTGTTTTTAAAAGTAATTTCTGCATAAGCCCTATTCTCTTCAACTTATTAGGGGATATTGTTTGGGGTAGTCAAAAACAGCCTTGATACCTGTGAAAACGTTTTCAGGTGCCAGATGTCGGAATGAATCATTGACATAACACAATTTTTCATACTTTTTATTTTTAGTCATATTTGCAGAACCAGTGTGTGAACATGCTATATTGAGTTGGACTGTGATCCTTAGTATCAAGACAATGTGCATGGAATACAGAAATTGGCATGCTGTACAATTCGATTAGTGATGTAATTAATTTTTTCAATAAATAATACTTATATTTTGTATCAATTTCTGTATTATTTCTACTTCCATTACCAGATGTACATTTTTTCTTTGGAGGAAACCTTAAAATAGATGCTTTCTCTTCCTAAAATATGCTTTCCCAATTTTCCTAACTAGATATTATTTGTTTTCAGTCTAATAAAGTTAACAATAAAGATGGGTTAAAACTGGCAAATGTATTGTCAGAAAACATATCTTTGTAGTCAAAGGTGGGTAAAATACTTTAAATGTAGTATACAATAAACAATTATTTTGACAAAATGTATGTGGTAGCAAAAAGTTATGTAATGCTGCAGCGAAAACAGCAATTTTTTTGAAGAATTCATATTGTAGATCCCTAATTTTGAAAAAGTGGATAATTCTTGTTCCTAGATGTAGTTAATTACTTCCTAAAACATGTTATGTAGTCAGAATTCACATATTGTGAGTCCTTGACACCAAAAAAAAATGGATTGTGTCTCCCAGCCCATCTGTGAATAATGCTAAACGGTAAGCAGGATTTTCACAAAAATGATATTCTTTGGATATTAACTTAATGATGCAGCTCCTTAAATTTAAAATTGATATTTTAATTTTTGGAGATTGTTTATCCCTCAAGGACATTGTCGAGTTTTCTCATAAGTGGCTGACGTTTTTTATTAAACTTTATCCTTGGATAGCGTAAAGAATGCTTAAAAAGTTGGTGCAAGTCTCAGTTCCATTTATATATCTGAATTAGAGAAAATTGCAGAAGTTCAAACTGTTTTCGGCATCATTGTGGTATACAAGAGATCATTTTTCCTCTAAATACAATCTGTTTTTCAAATTAAATGAGGACATGAACATTTTTTTTCAAAATGAGTAGTGTTCCAGGAATTTTGCAAGACACAAAGAAAATTTTAAAAACATGGTTTTCTGAAAATAACTCAATATTTTTTTGTGGAACGTTTTTTAGGAGTAGTTCTACATGCAATGAATCAGATGACATAAATGCTATTTTACATGGGTTTCTTTTTTTTTAAACAGATGAGTTTATTTCTAAAAATGTCTCTCACATTAATATTAACATTACTAACAATTTGTAAACATTATAGCATTTGTCAGTACAAATGCTTAAAAAAATTATGTATAAGTTTCTCAAAAACTCAATACTACCTTTCTGTGAAAATGAACTCAAACTGCCGCAGTTTCAGAAACACTGGGAACAGCATTTTCTCAAAAACGGCTCTACATTTTTTCTGTAAGCATTTTGTAGGGATAGTACTGAATAAGATTACTTTTGATTTTTGTAAAATAACAATGATTTAAAAAAATATCTTTTGTTGACATTATAGTCATTTTCTATACATTACTGCTTTTGCAAGCACATATGCCTTAAATATTTTCTGATTAAGTTCCTCAAAAACTCAAAAGCTTTTCTGGGAAATTTGCTTATTACCAGAAATACTCAACATTTTCTCATGAGCAGCTTCACATTCTTCAATGAAAAGTTGCATAAAGAACTGTTCATGTCTTCTGTACTTTTTTAAAGTACATATTAAAGTTCTACAATTGGATGGCCAAAAAAGTGAGAAAATGTGAAAAAGTTTCATTTTGGCTCTGCTGGCAGCTGGGGAGAGGGTGATACAATACTGGAAAGCTGGTCTAGAATAAAAATTGGTTGATTGCAGGCATGTCAACTGCTAAGGTCATTTGTCCTGTAAGATCCTGTTCTCCCCTCTGGAGATGGCAGTGATCTTTCCCTGCTGCACAGTGAGATCCTGTGCTGACATACACTGTGACTCGCAGGGTCTTCTTCGACCAGGTATCTCCCATCAGCAGGGCACCATCCAGCCAAAACAAGCTCCAAGCTCCCAACTGGTCTCCTGTCATGTGTGGTAGTATAGTGCATGTAAGTGTAACTGTGTGTAAGTAAAAGGTGAGGATAGAACAAAGAAGAGGAAGCGCACTGTCGTGGTGCATTTGTTAGGGTACTGCTCCAGCATTCGCCTGGTGTTGATTGGAGAAACCACGGAAAACTACTGACCAAAGCAGCTTGATGTTGGAATTCTCCTCCACCCAGCGACTGAATTCGACCTAGCGTCGAATATCCTGTCACTGTCGTGAATCAAACCTAGGACCTCCCAGTCAGTGTCATCGGTTCATGTCTTCAGCGACCTCCTAGCCTAGAGTGGCCTAGACTAATGAGATTAGAAAACTAGTGCATGAAAGTCTATGCCAAACTAACACCACTGTTGGTTGTTGATTTTTTTTGTGTAAATTCTAATTTAATTGCTTTGAATTTGAATTCAAGATCATTTCATTTTCTTACTTTTGAATTGAAAATTGAAGTTGCATTATTCTTTAACAAATTTATTTATTTGTTTACAAATGGTCTACAGCAAATTTAATTACCAGTACCATATTTTGTTTACACAGTAGCTTAGCTGTGTAATTTAAAATCTGATCTATCTGAACAAATGAACATATAAATTCTGTAACAATAACTCTTTAAATATTAATTCTAAACTTATAAGGTGATTTACATTTCATACATTCAATTCCTTGTATTTTCATGCTCATTACCTTCCAGCCAGATAATACGTTTAGACTGTACGTTACGTTGCTTCTTGTATATTTTATTGCATTTACAAATATGTTAAAAAGAGTATTCCCTATGAATGTCCATGACAATCAAATTTTTTTTGTTTGTTTCAATATCAAGACTTTATTAACACAGACAATGGGTTTGTTTCATATCGGTTTGCAGTTATGTATTTGGCAAAAATATACCAAATTCAATAGTTGCTGTTCACTACCACTCTGATATTTATGGTCAATATAATAACAACCGTTGTTAATATCCTGAAAATGTTTAATCCCACAGATGACATTTTAAGCTTCTAAATTATGCAAAGTTTGAATAAAATAAAAATATTGAAGTTAAAAAATAATTAACAAAAAAATTACATATAGCTTTTTTCATATTCATTATCAGGTTAAACTGTTTACATTACTTTGCTTTGCTACTTTCTCACAGTGTTTTATTTGTTATAAAGTATTCATTCATATTTAAATGAGAGAATATAATGAATGCTTATCAAAGCTGTGTAATTAATAGAACCTAAACTTAATACACAAACTATAGAATGAAATTTCAGATAATCACATTTTATCAAAAGAACCATCAAATGAGATGTATCACAAGAAGAAAATTTTCCCCATTAATAAGAATAATGTTTTGTTTTTTTTCTTTTCATTTAGAAGGATGAAGAGTGACTCTGAAATACAAATATATGTGATGTTGCCGAAGAAAAAAAAATTGGAAATACTAGCTTTAGAAAGATTGAATTAAAATTTATTTTCAATAAATCTTCAATGATAATGGTTGTTTCTCTCATTGACCTGGGCCAGTGTAATGTCTTATTCAAATCATTTCCTTTGTCTCCCCCCACACTTTATTCCTTCCATATTATTAAATTAATTATTAAAAGTATTAGTCGGGGAGAAATTGCAATATACTTAGAGCCGGACAAAATCACTTCCAGTTCCGATCGCTCTCGGCGACGAGACCAGCGAGCCGAGACCGCTTCTTCCGATAATACTAGTTCCGGCACGGCCCTTATCCAGAGCGATCGCTCCCGATACTATGGCTGTTATCGGGGTGTGCCCTCCGAGTCAGCGGGCAAATATGCAACGAGGGAAAACAAAAGTGGGAGTCACCTGATCTCCAGACAACGTTTATTACACACGCGTTTCTATCAAATATCTTCCACTTAAGGTAGGGATAACTGAACAGGGTGTGTAATATAGTATGGAATACTCTTTTACGATGAAAGCTGAATAAAAATTTGATCCCACAAGGCAAGTTGCAATCTTATGTTAGAGCATTCACAATAATTAATACACTGTTCTACAAAAAATAAAAATCATTTTTCTGAGGGAAACAGTAGTGATTATATAGAAATCTATCTCCTCAGTTCAAATCTGCAATCAGTTTCTTTCTATCAGGCACAGTAGTTTTTAATTTATAGACAATTCCGTTTTTTAAAACTTTTTCCCCACTTTATACATCTTTTTAGAAAAAATTAGTAACAATTACTATCCTAGATTTTTTTTAAATTTGTAAAGGATCATTCCAATCAGAATAATATTAAAAACAGGAATAGTCCTATAAAATGTAATATATTGTATGCAAAAAAACTTATTCACAGACATAATAACAAAATCATCTCTCCCGTGAGAATTCAAAAAAATTATTTTTTTCTCTCTGTCTTGTGATCACTTTTTCACTCTTGACTCATGTTCCACCAGCAGTCCGCAAGCATTGAAGGCAACCTTTTCCCTTTGTATCAATTCATGGTCATAATGCCTTTATGAAATCTTCCCCTATGTTTATCAAAAACATCACTGCAGTTTTCACAAAAAAAAACCCTATGAGTTTATCATCACTTGAACTACTTCATAGTTGTTAGTTCTTTTTTTCTAGAAACTTCTGCGTTACATTCTTGAAATTTTGTGCGTCCACTCTTTTGGAGTTAAGTGTTGTTCAAAATAGGTATCTTTCAGAAGTTCTGGAGACCCATACACATCCCTTCCTTTATTTTTGCAGCCGAAAGACCAGGAAATTATTGGTAATGATAAATAACCCCTATTCCCGACAGATTCAAGGCTTTAACAAACTGTTTCATACGACCAAGCTTGATGTGAAATGGAGACTGGAGGACATCATCACAGACTTCCAATTTATCTTTCTGAATATTTTTTTCATCTGACTTTCCATTCACGTTGGGGCCAAATCTTTCTTTTGTAATGGGAATTTTTGTAGCGGCTATCCCCCACACACAAAACATCTGTATTTGGTGTAGCCAAGTTACATTTCTAATATAAGTCAAATTTTAATTAAATTTTATAAAGGAAAAACTGTGCCTGATGGCAAATTTCTAATTCCAGATTTGAATAACTCATCATCAAAATCTGAAGAAACACATATCGTCTTACAAGAAAATTAACTGTTGTAGTACAGTGTTATTATTGTATTCAAGTAACCGGCGACCTTCCGCCCGTCACTTAGACCTCGTCGGTTCAGCAATCGAGACAAAAATTAGATGTAATTCTACGCGTCTGGGTCTCCTGGTGAGGAACTAACGAATTGTTTGGAGACTCATTCAGATGATTCTAAAAAATTTCTCCAAAAACGGATTTGCTTTCTTAGGCGTCTAAAACGTGTTTTCAGAGACCTACGGCATATCAATAGCTTATTTGATTCCTCTCAATGAGACAAATGTAGTCATTTTTTAGGCAGAACCTTTTAGTACTTTGTGAAGAAGAAGAAAAACTACTAGAAAAACACGTTCTTTGGGTATTTCAAGACACATACTGTGGTAAAACGACTGTGAATAACTACAATTTGCTTTTCCGGCACAACGTGAATCCATACGTCGCGTTCATAAAGTTGACAATATTTAAAGCTACTTATCTTAGCAAACATTATTAAAAAAAGAGTACTTCTACCAATGAAACATATACATTGAAAAATAATACGACTTCAAATATTTTCAAATGCTTAATGAACGTATCATTGCACTGATATCATTATCGGCAGTATCAGCCGATAATGTGCGGTCCTGCTTGTTCCGATGCTTGTTAGAGACGAATTCATAATCAGATAAGTTTCGCCCCGGCTTCCGGGGCCGTGAAAGCGAACTAGCGAGGACGATCGACAGTAGATTGCGTTTTGTCCCGCTCTAATTATAACATTATGTAACAGTTCCCAATAATGCGAGAAAGTGTGTGCTGTTGAGCACATCTAGTTTTTTTATTACAGGGCATTAACTGAGAGATTCATGTGACATTAAGCATTGGCACTATTTTTAATAACACCAAAGCGTTTCAAGCATGAATTTAAATGACTCTTCAAGTTGTAAGCCATTGTGATTGTTTTATTACAATTAGGACATGGAACAGGACGTCTTGAATGCCAAGAACGTTTCTTCTTGTGATATAACATTCTATTTGTGTAAAGCCATGGTTGATTGCTGTTTAATTCATTTTTATAATTAATATTATTAGCAGACATGACAGACTGTTGAAGAACTATTGATGATGGTGAAATATTCATATTACTTTCGTGGCTTACGTTAAAATTTTCGATTTCTGAATACCTTGAATTTTCAGTAATTCTTCGCTGAACTTCGAAGTTTTCCCTAACAAAATGAATGTCATTGCTTCTCGTGGCTATTTCAGGTGATGGCTGCAAAAAGTTTGGTTCACTCGTGTATCCATGATTATTTTCTGCACCTAAAACAAAACAAGGAAAGTAAAATTAGTGTATCTTTTTAAAATTTCAACATAATATTGTGGCGTCACCAAATTGTATTATATTAATTTAATATTAAGATAGTTTTATCCACGGAAAGAAAGTAGGACGCAAAACTGGGCTCTTGTCACAAAGAATCTTTTTCAGCTCGCCCGTCGCCAGCTGCCCCGACCGCCCGCCAAATAGGGTGCCGTTCGCAGCTGCCCCGCCCGCCCCTCGTCGGCTGCCGATCAGCAGGGAAGACCTCCCCCCCCCTTCGGGGAGCCCCCGCGCACATACCAAAACAATGACCGCCTGCGTCTTGGCCCGGAGACAGATGGCCCGCCTGCCGGCCATTCGTCACGCGCCCGCGAAAGGAATCACCTACAACACTTCCGGAAATCCCAGAGGTATTGTTTATAGCTCGCTCGTCGGCGGCTGCCGATCACGGCACCGAAGAATTGTTTCCGAAAACAAAGCCGCCTGAACACGTGTTCGGGCAGCTGCAAGAGATGCTTTCAGAATGAGAGAGAGACAGAGAGGCAGAGAGACAGAGAGAGAGATATTGCCCTGGAAAATTCCAGGAACAGTGCGTCTGGATTGGGAGACATAAAATTGCGACGCATACAGTTTCGGCCTATGAGACATCTTCCGGTGAGGGAAGGGGCAAAGCTACGGGTCCTGAGACGTTTTCGGGAGGGGGGAATGGAGGCGAGCTCGGCCGGGAGCTGATTAGGGAGAAATTGTAGGAGAAAAGACGTGGCTCTGAGCTAAGACTCGGTGGAGTGAGGAACATTGTTAATTTCGGCTCGTAGGGCTGAACTTTGCCACCGAGCGCGATTTTCTCCGAACCTAAGACCCGCGCAGACTACGGGTCAATCTGCGTTCGCCGCATAGTGCCGTCTCGGGCGCTCGTGTGTCCTCGAACTGACACTGAGCCCGCCCGCCTTTGACGACTCCGAGCCGCACCACGCCGCCAGCTGAGAAGAAGAGCCGAATGGGGGCGAACAATTCTAATCGAGCCCCACTTGGGAAAGCCAAATGTAACGTTTAGCTCAGTCGGGTCGCTGGTTCATTCCTATAATGAATGAATGGAAGAGAAGGGATGTTATGAAAATATCTATTGAATCATTACGTCACATTGTTCCCTCGCTGGGTATTCCGGCGAAAGTTTCAGCGTTGCCGTGCTCAGGCAGTTTTTTATTACTTAATAATCCACGAACTATTGTAGACAAAACCCCAATATTAGTGTTAAGATGTTTATTCCTAGCTATTAGAACCATGAGCTCATTGCGTAAAGTTGGTAGGCAGTCTTTGTCACTCTCTTGCGACTTTCAGGTGCAAGCAGGTGAGAAGAAAATTGTTTGGCTACTTACCGATCACTTTCTGTTCTATGTGCAGAACTTAATCAACAGCGTGGGATGTGAGAATCTCGATAGATTCCATGAGTTGTTAGTGCAATTCGACCGCACTAGAACTAACTTCCCAGACGATGAAAGGGAGAGAAATCCCAGACCCTATCAGAATGGGGGTCAGCGTAATCAACAGCCCTGGCAACGCGACGGATGAAGGCCCGGCGCCGATGATAGTGAGAGGCGACCGCCTTCAGCACCGCCCGGGAGAGGCCAGAAAACCCGACCGACGGAAACAGCCCCAGTCATAGTGGCAACGGAAACACAAGGACGAATTCGACAAGCTAGAACCGTTTGGGTCCTAGTTCCAGGAGTCCAATATTTACATTATTTGTGACAGTGACAGCAACATAAGACAGTAATGTTGAAGAGTAGGCAAGGTTATCAGGCAATAGTAGAATGGCATCCCATAATAGTGTAAACTACTACATTTGTTGGTAAAATAGTATTAATTGATAGTAAATATGTCAATAGAAAGTGGAAAAGACCTTCATAGAAAAGTGGAAAAGACCTAGAGGTTGAATAAATCCATTGTTCTGGTTTTCGAAAATAAACTTTCTTCTTTTACGAAGTGATCCAACGTTGGGCTTCCACAGGCAAGATTCCGTGACCAATGGTCACCCATTTACAATTTTTCTCCATTCGATCTCCTCGTCTCCTTTCAGATGTTGCGGAGTGAGACAGAAGAGTCGCCGAAGATTCGTTCCTTACGATCGCGCTCTTGAACAGCGGCACTCTTCTGTCCTATTTGAATATATACGTACGTGTACCAGCGGACCCGGTAATCCTTCACTATTGCAATGTAGTACACTTATCCGCCACTGGTCACATGATTGTTAATCACGTTTTACGCTACGCTCAGCAAAAATTCTCATAGATGAAAGAGTTTCTTGCGAGTGTGGGTCTCGTTTGGACATGATTGTCAAGTATCCTATTGTTAAAACGTTCTCTATTAAGTAAGGGCATGTGTTCGATATGACACTGCCTTCGAGAAATTCGATTTACTTGTTCGAGATAACGTTCAAGTAATATGGGAAGTAATACGGTAAATTACCGGCCGATATTTTACAATTGCAAGGATATGAGTAGATTGTTTACTAAAAGTGAAATAAAATTATTTATTAATTATTGTAAAAACAAACGAATCCTTTCATTCATTTCTAAGCACCATAACGTATCTCAAGATATCCACCTCTCCTTTAAAAACTACAAATCATTATTAAGAAAAGACATAAGGTAGGCTAAAATCATGAAACAGGATCAGGATATTTTGAACTCAAATAATAGTACAAAAACAATGTGGAATTTAGGAAAAGGGCGTCAAAATCAACTAGAAACCTAGTAGAGAGTGTTATTTTAAAAGATAACGCTAGAAATGTCAACAATCTGGCAACAGTGGCTAGTCTCTTTAGCCACAAAATTCAACATCAGACGTTTTTCCCCAAAAAATTAGATACGATATTCGTTTCCGAAACTTCTTCCTATGGAATTCTCAAAGTAATCGGTAAACTAAAAAATAAATACTCGGCCGGTTTAGATGAATTTCCGGATTGTTTGTTAAAGACGTGCGCCTGTCATTGTACTCCCGGTAATTCCCGGTATTTCATGTATCCTTATGCACAGGAAGTTTTCCAGGTATTTTTAAAACAGCTAAGATTAAGCCGCTTTTCAAAAAAGGCAACAAAGTTGAAATTCAAAATTATCGACTAATTTCCCATCTTTTTTTCCAAAATATTAGAAAGACTTTTTTATGTACGAATGGAAACCTTTCTTAGTAAACACGACGCGTTTTCAGATTGCTGAAATGGGTTTCGAAAATCTTAATGATTAATAAATTTTTCTTAATGATGTCAGCCTTATCCATGAATCAAAACGACGCACCTATCGAAATATTTTTTATCTTTCAAAAGCTTTTGGCGTCATTGATAATAATACATTACTTTAAAAATAACCATCGTATGGAATCAGTGGTATTTGCTCTAATTGGTTATGTTCGTATCTTAAACAACGATTTCAGAGATTAGAAATACCTTACTGGACTAATGAAACATTACGTACATACCCTTCCTATTCTTTGTTATTTGCACGTGGAGTCCCGCAGTTATCGATTTTAGGCCCTATTCTCTTCCTACTATACGTAAACGATATGCCCTCGACGATTCGAAACGGAAGAACGTTGTTTGCGGATGATACGAATATTCTTTGCAATAAAAAAAACCATAAATAGTACAAATGTTTCAAATTGGTTCCCTAATAACAAGTTAATAGTAAATTAAAAACGGATTCAATGCAGTTTTCCATTTCAAATAAACAATTCTGTTCTCCATTGAACGATGTGCCATTGACTGATGTTAAGGTAACAACATTTGTGGGCCTTTCAATTCAGTCAAACCTTAAATGGAACGTCTATTTAAACGAATTGAATACGCAATTAAGTTCATTATGCTACGATTTCAGAATTCTTTCAAATTCTGTCAACGTTCGTACAGGTCAGGAAACGCCGACGTCTATAACTATAACACTCGACGCAGCAATCACATCAGGTGACAATATGTTCAACTCACTACAAAAAATTCACGTACAATACATGTACATTATTTTACAACGCTTAAATTTGACACAAAGTTGCCAAATGGCATTAAACGATTAAATTCGATACAAAAGTTTAAATCCCAAGTTAAATATTTTCTGCTGCAAAACTGTTTTTATTATACAATTAGAAGCTATACATAGCATCCAAAAGTAAAGTAATATTAAATTTTAACAATGCCATTTAATGCATTATTTATCATTTGGAGTGTGTAATTCTAAAGAACAAGTACTTCAGCTTCTGAGTCAATGGCCCTATCTACATCAGGTTTTCGTTCAGTTTCCTAATCCTTGAGCAAATGATGAGATGTCCCTTTGTTTTGCTTCTGGACATAAATGAACACTTCAAATTAACTTCTCCCCGTAGCACTTCACACATTGTTTTTAACCGTCTTTGACGTAATGAAAAGGGCAGAAAATGCAACCAAGACGAGCTTAATACATGCCGGTGTGGCTGGTTGCCTAGCGCTTAGGTTCAGGGGCTTTTGTGGCAACAATATCAACATAAAAATATAATCATCAACGCCTCTACCTGATCGATTTCATTCACACCACTCTTTATATACTCCCGTTGCTAATAACAGGGTGTGAAAATTTCAGCGAAATCGGTTGTGTAGACTTCTCTTACATGTAAACCGGCATATATGACGGAATTGAAATTAACGCTTTTAAAGTTTGCCTCGCGGAAGGGCGCATTCCCGTTTCCGACGTGCTGAGCCCTGGCGTGAATGGAAGGTAGGGCCACGTACGGTATCCGCTGCACAGCGCTTAGCGCAGCCCTGCATAGCGCTGCACCGAGGGTGAACTGTGGACACGTTGCTTGTAGGGCGGACCCCGGACAGGAGCGGTATTTCAGGCGGAAGAGGCCAGACTGTTGGATGGCAGACGACGGGGGGATTTTCTAACTGCATTGGCGTGAAGAAGTGGTTATTTAAACTTGTGAGTGCCGTAATAATCGAATAATGGGATTAGTAATTGGGCAAGTGTAATAGTGTTTAAAAAATGCCATAAAAATGAATCCAGGGGACGAAAACAAGTGAACATTTGTCGACACGCGGTCAACAAAGATGCTCAATAGGATTCTACTTATTATTTGCTGTTGGATGAACTGTATAATAAGGAGTGTAGATAAGCGAATCGAGTGCCATGAAAATTTGGAAATTGTACGAATTTTTCTTTCGCCACGGACTAATTCACTAACGAATGGACACGTGCGGCTGCATGGGCGAAACGAACGTACGAGCGTTGCTATTAGTGCGCATATAAAAACGAACATGAGGCCGTAATTCCTGAATGCGAGGCTGGATGGTTGGGCTATTGCGAGTGATGTCACGTGGGCCGGATCTGGCCGGGAGCAAGAGGAGGTGAGGGGTCGAAGACTGGTTGTTGCGAGGGCGGCAAAGCTAGCGATGGGCGACTCTCGAGCGCCGACTGCGCTTCGAGAGACCGAGGAAGCTCATGAACCCCAGTGGCCGGTCCGTCGTTAAAGCCCATTCACAATGCAAACGTAAACATAAGCACAGGGCATAGACATAAACATTAACATAAGTGATACACTGGACTATTCACAATAACACTTCTAGCATAAACGTACGCAAAATAAGAGTTTACATTGGCTGTGACACATACTGGTTACTATTGGTTGAATGTGAGAATCGATTTCAAGGTATCGACAGTATCCAGGGCCCATATGGCGTTAGTTCTACTTTCGACTTCGTTCCATTTTCGATTCTCGATTTTGAGTTATTGTTCTGTGATTGGTTTATTTCGTATACCTTACTTAAGCAAAAGCACACAAGCTTTTAAGTTAACGTCTAACGTGTTATGCTTATGCGACAGCTTATGGACGTAGTCCTAACTTTCATGTTAACACCATGGGTATGTTGCCATGGGTACACGTTTGCATTGTGAATGTTTACTCCTATTTAAATACAGTTGCGCCACAAGGTCACGAGTTGAACGTATAGGGGGACACTTGTCATCCAATCAGGAGCTTCGTTAGGTCCTAAAGTTTTGGTATTGGTGCTCCCCAAAAGGAAACGACCAATCTTGTCATTTCAATTCAATTTCAAATCAAGTACAACGCGTGTGTGTGTGTGTGTATATATATATAATATAAATAATATATATTATATATAATATATATTGTCTATTTATTTTTCATTTAAGAAATGACAATCAATTTTATATACATTACCTTTGTTTTAAGAATCCATGTTTTCTTTAAAATTTGAGATACATAATTGATATTTTAAGGAAGTAAAATAATTTTGTGTACAATTGTTTGCCATGATTTTTGCATTTGAAATTTTATTTTTGACTTTTTAATACATTTTTATTTTATATTGTTAAGTGCATTTCTTCAATATTGATCTTTATTTTAATTTGAAGAATAGCATATTTTTTTTACTTTTATTAATTTATTATTTTTATTGCTTATAGGTACGTCCTATCTTAAAATGTTTTAGGCCACATATCCTTAAAGTAAGTGGTATGAAAAATATTTCTATCTTGCTTCAGTAGCTGAATGTGAGGATACACTGATGGGACCGCAGGAATTGTGTAATAGATTGTACCTCCACTCGTTCTGGGCTCATATCAATTCTTTCCTTCAGCACTACAAATATTCTACAAGAGAAAGTAAGAAGTTAAAAGGAATGCGAAATTTACAATTGAATGCAATTGTCAACGTCTTGTCACCATTTACGAGAGGCAATTACGACCGAAATAAGTTCCGCCCATTAACATTTTCTATAACGTAATCTTGTTACTGGGTATTATACGCGCGCGTTTTCTTGAGCCTTGGAAGACCTACCACCACTCCTTTATTAACATTAGTCGATTTCACAATAAATTACAGCAAAGAGCGTCGTTAACATAATCTGATATCCAGAAATGCTCGCTTCCGTATAATTTCCTTGTATTTTGCATTGAAAAACGATACACAGATTTGACCTAATGTCCTGTCGACCAAAACATAAAATGCCCCACTTCCCTCGCATCTTGTGAAATGAGAGTCCAAGAGAACGTGGGCAGATAATAACAAATGCATTTTAATCATACAAATGGCTCAAAGAATTGTCATCCCCACCGGAATCGAACTCTGGTCTCCTGGTTTACGCCCACTTGCTTAATCATTGAGCTATCGAGGCAATCAACTGTTTCATAGGCCTGATGTATTGCCCGTTATCACACTCAATTTACACCCCCCTGTAACCGTTAAGGAGCCAGTAATTACCCGCGCAGAAAATGTTACAGCGGAATAGATTGCTTACGTAACTGTACTAACAAAAGTGAATTCAACAATATGTAATCGACATCGATTCCACAAAAAGGAATGTATGAGTAGATATGAAATATTTACAGGCTGTACTTCAGGATTTGACGCAGTCCCCTTATAAAGTTTAGTAAAGATTAATACAACACAAATGCTGAAAATAGATAATTTAAATAATAAGCTGGTAGAAGCACCATAACCATTATTTATACATTACATATTCCTAATGAGACAGTTTCCGATAATATTTCGCTAGAGGTGAGCAGCGGTACGGTCGAACCGTGTGCCCGATCTCCATAAAAGATGACACATTTACGTGTTGTTTGTCACGCAGATTTTGTTTGCCGTTAGTTTCTTTTCCAACTCTAATAAAAGGCGTAGCAGCACAAGATTACGCTTAATTCAATTTCCATTTTAAACTGAGCTCCACCTGGACTTTTGTATTGGTGAGCGTGTGACTCAAGGCGAGACAAAAGAACAGGACAGGCGGCGCGAGAGAGATGGAGAGAGAGAGAGAGATGGAGAGAGAGAGAGAGATGGAGAGAGAGAGATGGAGAGAGAGAGAGAT